ATACAGCCGTTTTTGGAAACTTGATCCCGCTAGATCTCAGTCCTGTGAAGGAAACTTCTGATTCTGCGTCAAGTCTCTAACTTAGGGAAAAGTATTTGAAATAAAGCAGAGATGCTCTGAGGATTGTCACCTGCTGTCATGTCAGCGCCTCACCTTGGGTTCTCGTAGGTAACAGTGCATGGCCTGAGTGACGTCCGCAGCGTGGACGGCGTTGTGGTACGGGTTCTGACTGTGGTAATCTTCTTGAATCATAACTGCAACGAAGGAAAGCCCCCCCGCCCTTAATTGTAAATGGGCGGCATGGACAAGTAAAAAACTGTGATAATCACAGTTCCCACTGACACTGTCCATGTGGCTATCAGTTAACTGTTCAGGTTCAGAGAGAGATGATAATCACCCACACTCACATGGATACCTAAAGAATCAATACCATTTTGACTCATGACTTGTTTGAAACTTTTTTAAAATGTATGTTTTTATTGATTTTTAGAGAGAGAAAGGGAGAGGGAGATAGAAACATCAATGATGAGAGACAATCATCCATCAACTGGCTGCCTCCTGCATGCCGCCCACTGGGAATCGAGCCCTGACCTGGGATCAAACTGGTGACCTCTTGGTTCATGGGCTGATGCTCAACCACTGCGCCACACTGGCCTGGCTTGTTTGAAACTTAAATGAGAAAGTATTCATGTCAAAATTATAAAATACTTTCTCTTTTAAAATGTGAATGAGACCAAAAGAATCTCAGTTTAGTAAAAAAGTACCATTCAACAAATATTTATTGTGCCAGATACTGTTCTTAGTGGTACTAGAAATTCATCAGTGAACAAAAATCTTTATGACACTGAAACAGTGCAAATACTGGGTCTATGAAAGTGACCCCGTGGGCGCTTCATCACGCGGTGGGTTTTGGACCTGGAATTTGTTTTTCAGTTTGTAGAGATGGACCTGATGCTAATCTTTCCTTTCTCCCTCTGTGTCTGTTACGCTATCACGAAAAGGTGGGCCAGGATTAGCGGGAGAGCTACCCGTGGTGCCAGCGAACCTGCATGGGGATGGAGGGTGGGGGGCCAACAGCAAGACAAGCTAAAACCTAGAGGTCTCTGAAGAACACACCAGCCCCAAGGTGGTGACTGCAATCCATCTGTGAGCGGGGAAAAGACTTGGGATTCTGTATTTACTTTGAACCCATCGTTTAAAATAGCCTTTTAAGTACTTTTGTACCATTTATTTTTGTATGCGTTTTATAATTTATATAATATACTAGTACAGTATCACAGGCATACCATTTATATATAAATGTGCATTAAAAGTTTCTCAAGCCCTGGCTGGTTCAGCCTGCAGACTGAATGGTCCCAGGTTCGATTCTGGTCAAGGGCACATTGCCCGTGTTTGTAGCTCAATCCCCAGTAGAGGGCGTGCAGGAGGCAGCCGATCAATGATTCTCTCTCATCATTGATTATTTCTCTTTCTCTCCCCCTCTCCCTTCTTCTCTGAAATCAGTAAAAATGTATTTTTAAAAAGTTGCTAGGTAATAAATTTATCTTAGTTTAGAACTTAAGAGGAAAGAAAACACTGTCTTCTTCCTTTAAAAAAAAAAAAAAAAAGACTCCGCATGCTATGCTACCAATTTTTTCCTAACATGTTTCTTTATTTGGTGAAAAGCTTCAACTTTCCCCTAAGCAGAGCAGTCTTAGCTAAATGCCACCCTGCATGTTTAAACATATTCCAAATAATCTTTCAAGTTTACTGTCAAATTAAGAGACCTAAGTGCAATGTACCCCATCTTTAAAGTTTACCCTTCAAACACTTAGAAAAGGGCAGAGACGTGGCGTCTTTGTCAGGAAATCGTGGCTGATGTAGACCTCACTGCAGAGTCATCCCAATTCCTCCCTAGGCCCCGACCCTGGGCTCCGAGGCTCCGCAGCTCTCACCCCCAGGTGCAGTCCATTTCCACCTGCCCTGCCCGGCTGCTGGCACAGTGGGAAGTGAAGGGGGCCAGGGTCACCAGCTCTCTCTTGGAAACTGAACACCACTTTGAACAAGCTCAGCTTATCCTATCCTATATAATAAAACCCTAAGATGTAAATCGACTGAATGGCAGAACGACCAGTTGCTATGACACACACTGACCCACGGGCAGACGCTCAACACAGGAGCTGCCCCCTCGTGGTCAGTGCACTCCCACAGGGGAAGCGCCGTTCAGCCAGGAGCTGGGCTCACGGCTGGCAAGCACAGAGGCGGTGGTGGGAGCCTCTCCTGCCTCTGCGGGGAGTGGGCCTAAGACGGCAGTCAGACCTCCCCAGAGGGGTCCTGCACCGAGAGAGGGAGCCGGCCAGGCTGAGGGACTCCCCCCACCTAGTTTTAAAATAAAGATTACTTTCTTTTTTGTTCTTAATGTGAATCTATTATGCTGCCAAAGTCCTCTGCATTCTTTTAACTTAATAGGAGACCACTTAGAGCTGCGCCTGGTCAGCCCCAGTTCTTGGGCTGCTAGCTGCAGACGCACAGAGAGCAGCAGGACCGGAAGCAGCATGCACAGCCCACAGACCCAGGAGCTCAATAATGCATGTTGTTTTAAGCCACTAAATTTGGAGTGGTTTGTTTTAGATCAATAGTTAATTAGTACCAAATTTTTAAAAGTTCTTGTATACATCTCATTACTACTGCTAAATGAATTAGAATTACTTACCTAAAAATCTACGAAGTTTCACCATATCTAAATGGAAGTACTCAATTAATCCATGAAGACTAAATAAATGACAGGTTAAACTTACTAGACTATTTCCTAAAAAAAAAAGAAAAGACAGAGAAAGGAGATATTAGTAGCTAACATAATTGCATATAGGTTTTGAAAACACAGCATGAAGTACTAATTCCTTTTTGTCTGTCTAAAATTTACAAATTCTTAGACCAGTTATGAACTTCAAATATCACATCTTTTTTTCCATCCTAAGAAAAAACTTTTTTTAAAAAAAAAACAAAACTTTTTTGTTGTTTCATTTTGCACAACCAGGTAAACTGGAAGATAAACTTTTAATAGACTGATTTTAAAAAATACACCAAAATAATCAGAATCAATAGAAACTTTGAAAATTGTCCCACGCTAAGTTTAAGTCAACTTCCCAAAGCACCTAAAAATGGCTGCACTTAACCACTTCCTACACGTCCCCTCAACCACCTGCTTTAGCTGAACAGGGATGTCCCAGAGCAAGCGATTTTGGCTGGCCCTGGTTAGGTGGAGGCTGTGTTTATTCTAACAAAACGGGACAGAATTCTATATCTATTCATTCATAGACAATACGATATCTAGCAATCTTATGTTTTTCTAGTGAAATGGTTCTTTGACTTTTCAAAATGCCTATTTTCAAGCTTTCTCTACTTTTCTCAAACTACTGACATAACCACATCCTATTCACCCCCTCATCCTCAACAGCCTCATACTTCACAGATAAAAAACATAAGCCCTCAAATTTCCCTTTCTTCCAAAAGCCAATAATATCTCTACCTCTCCACAGCTTCTCAGGAACCTTCCTTGGTCCATCACATACATCTACCATGTCCCCGCTCCCCCAGCCCCAGTTCCACTGAATCAAAACATCCCTCCCTCCTCCCCCTTCTCATATTGCTCAGTATGATGGGCACTCAGACATGCTCTAGATTCTCTTATCTTTGAAACAATGAAGAATCCCCGGCTCTCTTGGCCCTTCTGGTTGTCACCCTCTCTGCTCCCCCACAGAGAGTTTTCTGGGAGTGTTGTTACATGCAAAGGGGTTATCTTCATCCTCAACTCACTCCTTTGACACCACGTGTATAAATTAAATTTGGAAAAACTACCATTTTTATAATGTTTAGTTTTTCCTTCCAAGATTCAACTCTTTCTCTCCATTTCTTATACCTTCCATTACATTTCTCAATCTTTTGAAGATTTTCTCTATAGGACTGATATGCTGTATTAACAATTAAATAGACTGTGCTCTAAAAGGAGCATAAACTCATAAATTTGGACAAGAACAATAACATAGACACTATTCTAGTATTCTCTAAAAAAATTGATGATTCTTACAAAAAATGAATAAAAGACATAACTAGCTCCACATTGAAAATTTCTAGTAATATTTATGAAGGATTATAAAGAACTACTGGGCTAAATTCATTATCTAAAACTGCCTAAACAATTGTCAACAGAAGCTCATGGCTGAGGAAAAAAGTTAATTAATTGGAATAATATTTGCATGGGCAACATTGTAAATAATGTGGCAGCCCAAAAGAGATTCTTTTAAAAACTACCTGGCATATCATCTTCAAAAGGGGGAAAAAACCATTTCAAATCTTTTATTTTTATGAAATTAAAAGTTAAAATGCATTCAAATCCTGATAACACTCTACTGGTACAAACATGAGCCTATGTGGTTTGGAAGTATTTGAGAAAAAGTGAGCTATATTTCTGCTACTGCTGTTGTAACAACCAATTTTTTGGGGGGAGTATATTCACAGATATTTTAGGATGCATGTTCAAACAAACTATCCAATTAAAAAATGACCAGAGGATCTGAACATTTTTCCACCTGACATACAGTTGGTCAACAGACACATGAAAAGATGCTTGACATCACTAATCATCAACTAAATGCAAATCAAAACGACAGTGTCACCTCACACCAGTAAAAATGGGGATTATAAAATAGGCACGAAGTAAGTGTTGATGAGAATGTGGAAAAAGGTGAACCCTTGGGCACTCTTTGTGGGACTGTAAATTGGTGCAGACACCATGAAAAACTGTACAGAGGTGTCCCACAATAATTAAAAATAGAACTGCCATATGATTTAGCAACCCCACTTTTGATTATTTATATGAAGAAATCCAAAATACTAAATTCCAAAAGATATAGGCACCTCAGTGTTCACTGTGGCATTATTTGCAATGGCCAATACTTAAGAAGCAACCTAGGTATCTATTGCTGGAAGAATGGATAGAGAAAATGTGACATATGTGTGTATAGAATTTTATTGACGTAACATAAAAGGAGGAATGCTATTTAGCCATAAAAAAAAGAAGGAAATCTTGATTTAATGTTGATAGCCATTGTGACAGGTGTGAGGTGGTATTTCATTGTGGTTTTCACTTGCATTTCTCTGATGATTAGTGACATTGAGCATCTTTCCATGTCTGTTGGCCATCTGTATGTTCTCTTTGGAGAAGTGTCTATTCATGTCCTTTGCCCATTTTTTAAAATTAGATTTTTTTTGTGTATGATTAGTTTTATAAGTACTTAATAAATTTTGGATATTAAGCCCTTTTCAGGTGTATCATTGGTGACTATGTTCTCCCATTCAGTGGATTCTCTTTCCATTTTGTTGATGATCTCCTTTGCTGTGCAAAAACTTTTTAGTTTGATGTAGTCCCTTTTATTTATTTTTCTTTTGTTTCCCTTACCGAAGGAGATACAAAAAGATATCGCTAAGAGAAATGTCTGAGATTTCTGTTTTCTTCTATGATTTTTTTTAGTTTAGAGTCGAACATTTAAGTCTTTAGTCCATTTATTTTCGTGCATTGTGTAAGAAGGTGGTCTGGTTTCATTTTTTTTTTTTTTGCACATTATCTATCCAATTTTCCCAACACTATTTATGCAATAGACCAGTGATAGCGAACCTATGACACGCCTGTCAGAGGTGACAACGCGAACTCATTTCTTGGGGTTGATTTTTCTTTGTTAAATGGCATTTAAATATATAAAATAAATATCAAAAATATAAGTCTTTGTTTTACTATGGTTGCAAATATCAAAAAATTTCTATATGTGACACGGCACCAGAGTTAAGTTAGGGTTTTTCAAAATGTTGACATGCTGAGCTCAAAAGATTCGCCATCACTGGAATAGACTGTCTTTACCCCACTGTATGTTCTTGCTTCCTTTGTCAAATATTAATTGACCATAAGGTATGGGTTTATTTCTGGGTCTCTATTCTGTTGCATTGATTTGTATGCCAACAACAAGTGTTGAAGAGGATGTAGAGAAAAGGGAACCCTCCTGCACTTATCTATCCAATTTTCCCAACACTATTTATTGAATAGACCAGTGATAGCGAACCTATGACACGCCTGTCAGAGGTGACAACGCGAACTCATTTCTTGGGGTTGATTTTTCTTTGTTAAATGGCATTTAAATATATAAAATAAATATCAAAAATATAAGTCTTTGTTTTACTATGGTTGCAAATATCAAAAAATTTCTATATGTGACACGGCACCAGAGTTAAGTTAGGGTTTTTCAAAATGTTGACATGCTGAGCTCAAAAGATTCGCCATCACTGGAATAGACTGTCTTTACCCCACTGTATGTTCTTGCTTCCTTTGTCAAATATTAATTGACCATAAGGTATGGGTTTATTTCTGGGTCTCTATTCTGTTGCATTGATTTGTATGCCAACAACAAGTGTTGAAGAGGATGTAGAGAAAAGGGAACCCTCCTGCACTGTTGGTGGGAATGCAGACTCTGCAGCCACTGTGGAAAGTAGTATAGAGAAAAAAAAATTAAAAATGGAACTGCCTTATGACCCAGCAATTCTACTTTCTGACAATATATCTGAAGAAACCCAAAATATGGATTCAAAAAGATATATGTACCCTTATATTCACTGCTGTGTATTAACAATAGCCGAGATTTGGAAGCAGCCTTACTCCCCATCAGTAGGTGAGTAGATAAAAGAGCTGTGGTACATTAATAAAATGAAATACTACTTGGTTGTTAAAAAAAAGGACATCTTACCTTTTGCAATAGCATGGATGGACCTGGAAAGTATTATGCTAAGTGAAATAAGCCAGTCAAAGACAAATACCATATGATTTCACTCATACGTGGAATCTAATGAACAAAATAAACTAACAAACAAAATAGAAACGCTCACAGAAACAGAGGACAGACAGATAGCTGTCAGAGGGGAGAGGGGTTGGGTGAAAAAGGTGAAGGAATTAAGCAAAAACAAAACAAAATACCCCCAAAACAACTTCACAGACACAGAGAACATTGTATGGTGATTACCAGAGGGCAAGGGGGGTGGAGGGAAGTAGAAGAGGATAAAGGGTGGATAAATGTGATGGAAGAAGACTTGACTTGGGGTGGTGAACACACAATAAAATATACAGATGCTGTATTATAAAATTGTACACCTGAAACCTATATAATTTTATTAACAAATGCCCCCCCACTAAATTCAATCTCCCTCTCTCTCTCTCTCTCTCTCTCTCTATATATATATATTGGCCCGGCTTGCGCCCTCTCACGATCCAAGACCCCTCAGGGGATGTCAGAGAGCCAGTTTCGGCCTGATCCCCGCAGGCCAGGCTGAGGGACCCCACCAGTGCACCAGGCCTCAAGTAAGTAAATAAAATCTTGTCATTTGCAACAACATGGATGGACTTTGAGAGCATGCTAAGTGAAATAAGTCAGAGAAATACAAATGTGGTATAACCCCACCTATACATGGAATCTCAAACCAAAACCAAAAGCTGAGCACACAGACAGAACAGATTGTGCATGTCAGAGGCAGGGCTGGGGGTGGACAAAATGGGGGAAAGGGTCAAAAGGTAAAAATTTCCAATTGTAAAATAAAATATAAGTAAGTCTTGGCATGTAATACACAGCATGGTAACTATAGTTAATGATTCTGTACTGCACATTTGAAAGTTGCTTAGAGAATAGATCTTAAAAGTTCTTGTCACAAGAAAAAAAACTGTAACAATGTGGTGACAGATGTTAACTAGACTTACTGTGGTGATTATTTTGAGACATAGATATATATCGCATATCATTATACTGTGCACCTAAAGCTAACATGTTATATGTCAATTATAACCTCAATATAAAAAATGTATATACAATCTGTATATTTAGGTTTTGATAGGGTTCTCCCAAAATCATTTTCCTAACCTAATGAAACAAATGACCAATTTCTAGGGTCTCTAGACTCTAGAGTAAGTTTCAGGAAAGCTACAATCTATAGGTAAAATACCCTCATCTGCAATCTGAACACACTGCAGAGAGCAACACATGTAACGTCTTACACCAAGAACTTTCCAGGAATCTGACAAGAATCAGTCAGATCAGAGCATGCCACCCACATTGAATGGAAAAGCTGCATGTAGCATTTTTTCCCCATTTTCAGTTTATAAGACACCAGTGGATAAGAACACAAGTCAATGAAACATTTCAAAACAAGTGATGTGTTAAACAAGAAACAGGCACAAAAGGACTTATATGAAATGGAAACAAAAAAGGTTGTTGGAAAAAATTGTACTGCTAAAAAGCTCCCCCATAAACATGTATCAAAGGACAGAACTGTCAAAGGCACAGTGGCCCTGACAGCTTTCAGAATGTGACTCAGATGGGAGCCAACAGGGTTAGGCTACCTCCAGGACACAGGCCTGGTGACCAGGGTCCTCACGCGCCAGGTAGCCTTCAGGGGTGACAGGCATATCTTGTCATCTCCTATCACCTCACGCTCATTCCCGTGGAAGGAACGTCAGATGTATCCGACCAGCAATAACTGCTTTCCTCCTGCCGCAGACAGGCCGGGGCCATGTGTCTTGGCGAATCACTGAGCTTGCCTCCTCCCTGCCTTCCTTACAACAGCATTTGGAAATTACCAGAGTAAGAAATACAGCAAGCATGGGATCAAACGCAGGAAGGGAAAACTATACACTTGGAAACCACGTACATATATCATCCAGAATTCAGGTCAGGATGAGCAGTTTTGAAAGGAAAGCAGTGCTAATTAGGTAATGCAAGTAAAGGAATTACCTCTGATTTGTTTCCCAAGTATCTCTCTTCACGTATAGAATTCCTGTAACATTTGGGTAGCTGTGGTTTATGGAATGAATGAATATATATGTAAATATATACCACCACCTGTGAAATCATAGGTGGGTAGCTAACCATGGGCGGCTTCTACTAACTAAACCCTAACAACCAACCCTACGAAGAAACCATTCCGCCCTCTTCTGCACAAAGGGTTGAGGAGGTTACACAGGGAGCACAGCGCTAACTGGCTAGTGTGGCCCCGTGGGCTTTCACTTCTGCCGCCTGCACTTGTTCATCACCCAGCCCCGACTAGCGCTGTGAAAAAATGCAGTTAGAGACATTTCCCTGAGTGACAAATGTCCAGTAGACTAATCATAGGCTCTCAACTGTTAGACATACAGGGCTTTATAAGGCTAAACCGTGAAGGTCTTAAGTGTGCACTGTTTTCCATATTATCCTGAGATAAGTAAGACTCGTGCTGAGTTAGGAAAGGGCGTTCTCCGGACCTAGAAGCGGACACCTGTTACCTCACTATCTGTATTTTCACAGAGGCTGGAAGGGAGGGCTGCTGTGCAAAGGATGTGAGCCTTTCCTGTGTGGGCAGCCCACCACGGGGCCAGGGAGAGGGATACCACACTTAGTCATCGAGGGGCCAAGGAGAGGTGGGAGAGAAACAGAAGAGGCAAAACAAAAGGCCAGCGGAGGGAGGCTTTGCAGATGAGACAAACTTCACTGTTTACCATTTTGCCTATTTCCTATCATTAGTCACTAGACAAATAGTGAACATAAAGGTATTTTCACTCAGAGGGAACGATGTAGCGTCCTAAAAAGCTAGGCCACTCCCCCTCAAGATGAAAAAAGCTGTATTTGCTTGTCCTTTTCCCATATTTGGCTTCCTTACGAAAGGAGCTTCATTCCAAAGGGAAATAAAAAAGGAGGGTGCTTTCAGAGCACATCATTTCCTTCTGAGCAGCCAGGACTGGCCTCCTCAGTGTGCTCTCCACGCTGATGTATGTGTGTATGTATGTATGTATTAAAGACAGACAAAGTCTAGTTGAACTACATGTAGCACCCATTTTTTTATGCCAAAAATTTTCCCTAAGTAAAACTGATCCCCAAAGAGAATAAGGAAACGTGAACCCTCCCCCGCAACAACACAAAAATCAAGGGGGGGAGGTGTGTGTGTGTGAACAGAACAGAATCACCTGTTTTTTTTAAACCACACACACTGCAGATTCTGACACGCCCCCTGGGAAGCTGCAGCTCTTCCCCAGCCGGCCAAGGAGGGGAGCGCAGCACCCGGTCTTTCCAGTGTGAAGAGCCGAGAAAGAAAAGCCGAGGGCCACAGACCTAGAGGGAAGGAGTCTCTTGGAAGGTCGGCATCTACCCACAGCTGCACTATCCAAGCTGGAACACGGGTCATAAGGTGTCATTGTAAATGCCACAACCCAAAAGAAACCAAAAAAGAAAATTCAAGAACACGAGATAAGATTCACTGGGGGTTATTAGTAACAGCAGCCTTAAGGAGGGACGGCCAAGTGATGGTGGCTGTTTTTTTGATTACTGCTAAGAGTAATAATCAAAAACTCAATGTATGAGACTGGCTCTAGGCTTATCAATCAGTCATACAGAAGAGACAAAATGACGCCCCCCCAGCCAACAGAGGCTCCTAAGTCAGAGGAAGCAACGACCCGCCAGAGGCTATACCAGCAACGCAGCAGCCAGAGAACACAGTGATTCGAGTAAGTCAAATTCTTCACTTACCATTTGTTAGTCTATCAAATAGAAAGATATCAAAATTCCAATTTCCAACTTTTCCCAGCATACACTGAAATGAAAACCAAACATTCCTACTGTAATTTAATTTCAATAACACTATCTTTAGTAGATGGTTCATAGAAAAGTTAATGAAAATGGAAAGTGATTGATTTACTCTAAGAAATGCTATATATCATTATCCTTTTAATCATTATCTTTCCAACTGGTTCCAAAAAATGTATAAAGAGATGAACTCAATTTGAAAAACCAAATATTATTGTTTTCCAATGAATAAATGTATAAGTAAGGTTAGTGTTTTTTAAAACTTATTCTATTCTGCTACAAACTTTTAAGAATTCTACCATAATTTACATCACAGAAGTATGGTTCATATGTTGCATGGTCTAGAAACTAGATTTTAAAAGTTTAGTAAAACTAAATTATAATAACTGAGTACTTACTTACTATACCAGGTACTGTTAAAGTACTTTATACTCTTACTATTCACACCAACATTATCGCGTAGGCACTGTTTCCAATCCTCATTTACAGATGGGGAAACAAGCAAAAAGTAACTAACTTGCTCAGCTAAAAATAATCGAGCTGGGGTCTTAAATCAGGTGGCCTGATTCTGGAACCTGGGCACCTAACATCTACACTATGTTGTGCTTAAATTGTTATCCATTTTTTAGAAAACACTCCCAACTATGGGTATTTATTTATATTCTTTAAATATCCTTAAAAAACAATAGCATTTACTACATTAGTTTTCAGATTGATGTGTATTTAAGCCAAACAAATAAATACCACAATGACTTTAAAAACCAAGTAGATTCTATTTTTACACGATATATTTGTAACATGAAAATTCTGCAAACTTTATTTTTAAGAAAAAAATTGATTTTGTTTCCAAAAGTTCATTGTTGTATACATTTAAAAATAGATCAACATGAGCAATACTAAGACGCCACTAGTAGAGATTATAATGGTACCAACAACTAATCATACACAAATCAACATTCTCATTCCAAAAAGACGACCTTGCTAACTTTTTAAAGTTTAAAGAAAGCATGAACACTTTCCACTGATTTCTTTTATCAAAGAGAGAAGCAAGTTTTTTCACTTTAATGTTATCATAAAGGTACTCCAGCCCTAGCTACACAAACTTACAAAATCTTGTGTGTGTGTGTATGTGTGTGTATATATGTGTGTGTGTGTGTGTTTCTATATTCTAAAAATATAGAAACATAAGATTAAAAATCCTCATTTGTTAAAAAAAAAATAGTTCCTCTAACTTCCACCTTCATTAAGACATTTCTTTTAAAACATGTAAAGAAAATAATGCTCAAAATCACTGGGTTTAATTAAGAAACATCTAAGTCCTCAAAATAATCCACTGATTCAAGAGACTATGTATGAAAATCATTTGACTGAAAGTCACGAGACTAACTTTCTGTGCTGATTTACCTCTAATCAGAGCTCAAATTAAGTCCCTTTTGCTCCTTAAGCCATAGTTCACTTATCTATTGAATAAAGGAATTAGGTCAGATAATGCATAATATTCTTTCCAGCGATAAGAATATTGTGATCTTATAGTTTAATGTTCTACTGTTCTACTTGTTAATGTTATAATAAATAAAAAGCATTTTCATTTATTTAGTTCAGAAATTTCCCTTGCTCTGTAATACCTAATCATAAAATGAACAAACAACTGCTCTAAAGGAAAAACCTGAAAAATGGGCTCAACTGATTTTCACATACAAAAAAGGCTCTATAAATCAGTATCAGATGAGAAAAGAAGGCTTCATTAAACTTATCAAAAGGGTAATGTTTCTTGAAAAAGCTATACACACCTTGGCTTGTCCATTATAATCATCATCTAAAATGTTTAGAGAGTTTGAAACAGTAGTACCACGAAAAAAACGTGATGATCTAAGATACCGCTGGAAACTTAGTAACCTTCTGATATTCCTTGCAGACACTGAAACTTCAATTTCAGATTGAGCTGAAATAAAAGAAGTAAAAGGTGAGTACAGCAAGTCAAAACTCTGCATGTACTATCTTGTAATACCTCTTTTCTAGCTATATACAAATAAAGATTTAAAATGTTAGCCATTATACCACACTTCTAGGAGAGAAGAGGTACTTTACTTGTATTCCTATTAAAGAACTAAAAATGAAGGGGTAAATGGCCAATTTTGACAGCATTTAGAAAGTTAATAATGAGGAGTGAGGCTTCATTAATAATCAGCTTTTTTTTTTAACTTCCAAGGATTATCATTTCTCACTCTATTGCCTCAATATACTAAATACACATGGAACAGAAACTCAAAACCTCGTTTGAAACTATGCTTCATACTAAGAAGCCGGGTCCCAAGTTTTATCAGAGACTTTAGCAATTAAAACATCTCAAATCCCAAGGAGGTATAATTTTAAATATTTCCTTGAGGTAATTTTATTCAGAGGAAAAGGAAATGGAATGGAGAATAAAGCAGTTTACATCCTGTGAGAGAGAGTTCTAAAACAGAGGGATAAGAATTCTGTATGAGGAAAACCCAAGAGACGTGGTTCCACGCTGGAGACTGACATGTTCTCTGTTAGTGAGTCTAGCAGCCATTTTAGAATAAACCAAACTTTGAGTAATAGATTAAATAACAGACTTGTGTTAAAAGCTCTATTTTTTTTTACATAAAAAAAAACTTTACTGGAGAGAGAGAAAGAGAAAGAGAAAGAGAAAGAGAGAGAGAGATAGAGAGAGAGAGAAAGAGAGAGAGAGGAGAGATGGATTTGTTGTCCCACTTATTTATGCATTCATTGGTTGATTCTTGTATGTGCCCTGACCAGTGATCAAATTCACAACGTTGGCTTATGGGGACAACACTCGAACCAACTGAGCTACCCAACCAGGGCCTAAAAGCTATCTTGTAGGGAATATATGTTATTTTTAAATTCTAAATTGAGTGAAATGTTCACAATATAAAACACATGAAAATGAAGAGTAAGGATAAGCAAATCATAATCTCTCATCTTTAACTTCCATGAACTTAGAATCACCAGGTGGAGAGTCAGGTAATCAAATATATCCTCTTCTTGTGGGTCCAGTCACTAACTCCTCTATTACCCTGCATTTTCTTTTCTATAAAATATGGCGATAATATCGAACTCAAAGGGTGCTGGATTAAATGAGATAACGGGTACACAAGTCACCTACAGGAAGTACTAAATAAATAGTGGCAATGTAGATGATGATAAAATCGATGCTGATGTCACTACTTACAGTTATGCTTCTAGGTATTATCCTAAGCTCCAAATCTGTTCATGTTGCTCTAAATAAATGTATTCACTGGCTCCCAATTATCTTAAAATGAACTCCATCTCTTAGCCTGGAAGAAAAGGGCCCAGGGCCCAGGGCCCAGGTCTGGCTTGCTCCAGATGTGACTCGGGTGTCACCTTCCCTGGGAAGCAAACCTGAACTCCCACCTCCACACGCACTCCCTCCTGAGAGCGAGGGGAAGCACCTCCTCTGGGGTCTCCAAGTTTCCTGCACACACACACCCATCAGACACTCCTGATCTCGTATTGTAATTGCTTACTGACTTGTCTCCTTTGACAAACCACGACCTCCAATACAGGCACAAGCTATTTTTTTCATCTCTGTAGTCCAAAGCTACATAATAGTGCCAAGTAGGTATAGGTGAAATATACTGAATAAATGTGGAATAAATGCATACTGTGTTTGAAACATTCCATCCACTCACATAAGCCAGAAATAAAATAATGCACACTGTTCTGTGGTTCATTTCCCTTATTTTTTATTCCAGTGAGTCTAAAATCCAAAGAATCTAGAACAGTAGTAGAGTTAAATTTTGATCTTTAACAATGTAACATATTAAAAGGACTGGAACTGATAAAAACTGGGAGGAACCGAAGATGGCGGCATAGGTTAACGCCGGAGATTGCTGCCTTGAACAACCAATTCAAATTAAGCCTGAAACAGGGAACGGACAACATCCAGAACCACAGGAGGGCTGCCTGAGTGGAAATTCTACAACTAGGAGTAAAGAGAATATCATATCCAGACTCAG